AGGAGAGACCAGGGAGGAGAAGATTAGGGAAAAGAATAGCAGAGAAGCTCTAGGAAAAAGAAGATCAGGGAGGAGAAGATCAGGAAGGAGAAAGTTAGAGAAAAGAGGATCAGGGAGAAGAAGGTTGGTAAAAGAAAGAAAACATGTAAGTTTCAGAGTCACAAGGGATATAGTCAAAGCATCAAGTGAGCCCCTGTTAACAATTATACGGTAGCAGACTATAATAATAATGTAGGTTACATAATAATATAATAACAGAAAATAAAGTCCACGAGGGAAACAACGTAGCCTATCTTGTGCACACTGCTGCATTCCCAGGGCTTAGAACAAAGCAGATAACAGAGCTTTATGGAAATGATGAATATGTTGTTGAAATGTGGGCTAGGAAAGTTTAAATAAGAAAATAGTAGAAGAGTGGTTAAATATATAAGGATAAATTACAGATGAATTCAAAGTGGGATTTCTAAAAAATCAATGGGACTCTGCTTTATTTTAGTGGTTGTAGAAAGATCTTAGCTTGAGTCTCCCAACTTCAAACTCAGAACCTAAAAAAGAAGTGACATCCAAAGGTCACAATGAATATAGATGGGTTTGGGGATTCACACTACTTTAATTGATGTGACTCTTTGTAATTTAAAAACATTTCTACAAAAGCTGCACGTGTAAATAAAAAAAGAAAGAGATATATTTTTATATCTGAGAGAAGCTTGGCCACCCAAACGTGTACCAACAACACACACTCAGAGCCAGAGCTCCCGTGTCCCAGGAATTCAGTGCAGTCCTCAGTTGTTTGCACAAAAATCTCACGAATTTTCTTTTTAAGATTTCAATTTTCTTTTATGATTTCTTTTAAATTTTCTTGTAAGATACTAAGATTTCTCATTCTTGATTTCAACTTCCCATGAGTGTTCCAGCGTTTTTCTTGGTTTTTCTCTGTCTCTGGAAATAAACGAATGCTATCTCCTTGATTCCAGCTGAGCTCTGTTTATAATTGGTGTCGATTCCCTTTTTGCTTTTCGAATGTGTTTCCAGATAAACAAGCGCTGCCTGTGCCATCTATTCTTCAGTGTCTTTCCCCTAATAAGGGAGCCTTCCAGTAGAATGGCTCTCTGCTGCCACCTTCTGGTTTCTGCCTGCTAAAGGACAGGCAGCATCCAGGTCAAAGGTGAGGTTTCAGCTCCAGCACTTTCCTGCAGCAGAACTGTTGCCATTCCTATTCCCCAGGCTCCATCTTTGGATCTCTTTTTATTCTTTTTCTTCACAACCCCCGTGGAATAGTTGTGACAGAGACCTGGGGCTGGAGGAGCTTAAAATATTTACTCTCTCACCCTTTACAAAAATGTTTTTGAATCCCCTGCTCTAAAGAGTTCAGTAATGGCAAGTGTGGGAAGCAGTCGCTGCCTCAAAGGCTATTGGGGAACCCCAAAGAAGGAATGAGAATGGAAGAGGCTGCCATTTCCACAAAGCTGAGCGAGATCTTACTGCAGAGTGCACGGTGGTGTCTCCATCTTTAGCCACCTGGCAGTGTTGGACAAATTTGATGGGAATGTCTAGGCAGAGAACCTCACCAGAGAGCCAGGGCCACCAGCTCCCCATGCACCTGCTGACAGCAGTTCTGCAGGAGGAAAGAGAAGAACAACAGTCCACTGGGACAAGGAGGTGGAGTCCCTTGCTGTGCTTTGTATGTCCTTCCACACACCCTCTGCTGAAAAAGCCTAACTGCATTCTAGCTGGCAAAAGAAATGGTTCACAGGAGCATCCAGCTCCATGTTGCAAATCACAAAGTAGACTTGCTGAGAGCTGTGGTGCACACCGTAGTACGTTCAAAACCAGTCACAATAACTTAGTGAGACCCTGTCTCAAAAAATAAAATAGAAAGATCTGAGGATATAGTTCAGTGGTAGAGCATCCCTGAGTTCAATCCCCAATACTGGAAACCAAACCAAACAAAGTGTAAGAGTGGATTTGGAGCCAACAGACAAAAATCTTTTTAACAAGCACAAATAGGTGGACGTATGCAAATTTCTCTAATCTGATGGATTGTTATTACGAATAACACCAGGCCTACCATTTATCCATTACAACATTTTTGACTTCTTGACTAGTAGAATTTCTTACATTTTAAAAACATTGTCTCTTTCATTTCATTGGCATTTTTTTTTTAGGAGTCGAGGCCAGTTACTTGGTGGAATTTCTCTCAATACAGATTCATCTCTTTGTTTGCTCATGATCTGATTTGGGTCAAGCACTTTGGTTATCCAAATTAGAAATAGTAACCAATAAATGGATATTTTAAGAATCTGAAACTTTTTTTCCCCCAACAATTATTCTCCCAGTAGACTTGGCATCTGTGAATTATGCACAGTTGAATCAGTTATTTGGAACAGTTGTGACATGGCAACTTTTCTGGGCTCTCATTCCCTTTACAATGAATTGACAGTTTGAAGAACTCAGAGGCAGGGCACAAGTTAGGCCACAGGCCACATTGCTGGAGAAGGCAGCCTTCCTTTGGAAGGCTCCTACTCTAAGAATACATGTTGCTGCAATCCTAAATCAGGGTCAGCCTCGCTGACCCTCTCACAATCACTCCCACTTCCCCAAGTGTCAAGAAAAACATCTCAGAGACCTCACTTTGCCACCCATTCTCAAGATGCTACTTACAAATGAAACTGTGTGATCATGAGGAGCGGGCCCTGAGTTTCTCATGATATAAGACAAGACAAAACAAAAACAAAAGACAAACCCAACAACAACATACTGTTGAGTTTGAAAGAGCCTGAAATTTTTAATTTAATTTCTCAATCTGGAGATCCAATGCACTTTGTTTGTTAATCATGAACCTATATTTCAATAAATTATCCATTCAACAAATATGTGACACAGCACTGGATGCTGAGGAAAGGGAGGAGGGAACTTGCTCTGAAGTGCTATGGAGAGTGTACAAGCTACAACATCAGGGTCCTTGGTGCTGATAGTCAATGTGACAAACTCTGTGACCTCAGTGACCTCAAATTTCTCATCTTTGAAACCAAATTATAGTAGTTGCTACAGTCAGGATCTTGAATGTCCCCAAAAGGCCCAAGTGTTGAAGACTTTGTCCATAGCATGAAGCTATTTAGAGATGGTAGAAGCTTTAGTAGGTGGGGTCTAGTAGGAGCTCTTTGGGTCACTGTGGGTATGCCTCCAAAGAGGACTGTGGGACCCCAGTCTCTTCTTCTTTCTCTTGTGTTTCCCAGCCACGAGATGAGTGTTTTGTTTTACTGCATGATCTCACCTTTATGTACTGCCTCACCATAGGTCTAAAAGCAAGGGATCAACTGATCATTGACTGGAACCTCTGCAAACACAAGCCAAAATGAACTCTTTTCTCTTTATAAGTTGATTATCTCAGACATTTAGGTATATGTTATAACAAGGGGAAAGGTAACACTGTAGCTATATCACTAAATGAATATGATGAACAACTTACAGATGCACTAACATGCACACAGCACCATGTTAATTGAAATGTTTGCCCATCTGAACCTGTCCTCATTTTGTATGAACTCAGTGTGCACAATTTGCCATTGATACAGAGCCCTATGCAGCAGCTAGAGCTGCCTTTATATACAAAAAACTCTGGTAAAGGGCCTGGGATACAGCAACTTCTCAAAAGTGGCATCCATAATATTAATTCAGAAATGCTTTTTATGGCTACGGTAGCTCTGGGGCACTTAATCACTGAGCCACATCCCCAGCACCCCACCCCCTGTTTTCATATTTTTTAATTTAGAGACCATATCTCACCAAGTTACTTAGGGCCTTGCTAATCAGTTGAGGCTGGAGTTGAACTTGCAATTCTCCTGCCTCGGCCTCTTGGCCTCTGGGATTTCAGGCCTGTGCCACTGTGTCAATTGGTTTCTGACAAAGGTCAAATGTGAAACTGTATTTTGGAATAGAATATATTTTTCTCCAGATTATTGAAACATTTTAAAATTGTGTTCCCTTTGTATTAAGTATTAAATAAATAGGTAAACTCTGTCTCTTATTATGTTAGAAGGGACTTGTAATTTCTTTTTTTAAAATTTTAAAATTTTTATTTTTTTAATTGATTTTAATTTTTTAAAATCATGACAGCGGAATGCATTATAATTCTTATTACACATATAGAGCAAAATTTTTCATATCTTTGTATACAAACTATATTCATGCCAATTCATGTTTTTATACATGTACTTTTTTGCATTACAATTCTTATTACACATATATACCACAATTTTTCATATCTCTGTATGTAAAGTATGTTAATACCCAATTCGTGTCTTCATACTTGTACTTTGGATAATGATGTCCATTACATTCCATCACCCTACCCCCTTCCTTTCCTTCCCACCCCTCTGCCCTATCTAGAATTCATCTCTTCCTCCCATGCTCCCCCTCCCTACCCCTCTATGAGTCAGCCTCCTTTTATCAGAGAAAAACATTTGACATTTGTTTTTTTGGGATTGGCTAAATTCACTTAGCATTATCTTCTCTAACACCATCCATTTACCTGTAAATGCCATGATTTTATTCTCTTTTATGTGAGAGAAAAGGTACACTCATACATTGCTGGTGGAACTGCAAATTGGTGCAGCCAGTATGGAAAGCAGTACAGAGATTCCTTGGAAATCTGGGAATGGAACCACCATTTGACCTAGCTATCCCTCTCCTCGGACTATACCCAAAGGACTTAAAAACAGCATACTACAGGGACACAGCCACATCAATGTTTATAGCAGCCCAATTCACAATAGCTAAACTGTGGAGCCAACCTAGATGTCCTTCAGTAAATGAATGGCATATATACACAATGGGATTTTACTGTAATTTCTTTTTAAATTATCAATATAAAAAATACATTATTGTATTTGTTTTGGATTTAGATATGTTCTTAGGTAAAATGTATTGAAGTTATTGATTTACTTATCACCTTGATGTTTCTTCTTTGGAATTATTGTTTTATTTAGGAAAGCATAATCTTAATGGGTGGATGTACAAAGAGGAGGAAGAATTGGAAGAAAAACCCTACATGCTTGTTTCCTTATATTTTCCATAGAATGTGATAACTTCAGTAAAGAAACATGGAAATTAGAGACATAGCTAAACCTCTCTTTTCCACTTTGCAAGTCTATATATTTTTTGAATCTGTAGGATAGTCTAAGTTCAGGCCAACTTCTCTCTAAAATAAGGCATTCCAAGATATAAGCCTATAATAGAAGGAACTTTATGAACTACTTCCCATTTGGGGTTTGTGTGATAATTTAAAGCAAGACTATAATAATTTAAGAAAGTTTGGAGAATCTGATCACATTTTGCAACCTTCACAGTTTAATTATATTCATTTTGTTTTCAAAGTCGAAGGTGCTCATTCTGAAAAGTAACATTCAAAAGAAATTTAATAGTTTTTTTAAAGGAATTTATGACGGTCTAGATTTTACTTTGATTATTCTGAGATTTATTTTTAACCTCAGAACTCTTAAGGTATAAACCGAATGAAATTCTGTAGTCTGCTTCCTGGTGTTCTCACACTTAATTCCTTTGCCTCAAATAACATCAAGGTTTTCAAATATTTTGCAATACACAAATGATAGTGAACATTTTACTCTCTATGAACAACATAAATATATCATGTATTTGCAATTATCCTTAAGAATATGTTTTAATAGTCTGTGAGTAAAACTCCCATTTTAAAAAATTTCATGACATATAGGCTAGAGAAGATTTCTTGAAAAGACGTATCCGAAATCAGATGACTACGGGGATGATACTTCAGGTAATACTCATTTGGTTTCGATATTTCATTCTTTTTTTAATTTGCATTTTACTTAGCATTTTAAATTTGCCTGTAATGAGGCATCTTGTCACTGCTTGGTTTGCAAGCTAGCAGTTTTCTCTCCTTAGCTGATGACAGTTGCCCTCTGTGTACAACTAGCAGTGTCTGATCATGCATAAAGAAACTGACCTCCCATACACATATCTCATTTTGTGGCTTAATGGGAATTTCTGCCAGTCTAGTAAAAGGGCAGTGAGATCTTATTCCTCAGTGTCTAACTCTTTAGTTTGCTTTATGATGATGTTATGTTTTCTTTACTTTTAGTGTCTCTCACATGAATTTCTTGATTTAACCCTCAAAGAAAAAGTACACTATGATATTTACATGCAAAGATTTTGAAAGAAAAGCATGATAACTAGTAAAATTTTGAAAGAAAAGCATGATAACTAGTAAAACCAAGAGACAAAGCAGTTTAGAATAGTGTTATGTGAATTGTTTTTGCCTTTGGTCCTCTTTGAAGCAAAGACACATTTTGTGATTCCTTCTGTTATTTTATACATATTTGATCAATAATCTTTTTTGAATATTTTCAAAAAAAAATTATAAGTTTTCTGTCGAAGGAACCGCTGACCTAGAGCCAATCCTTTTTTGAGTATTTTCAGACTTTTTGCCCAAGATTTCTTAACGTCTTATTTATTGATTGATTTTCTGTGGTCTTAGAAGGTGTAAATTGCCTAGTTCCTATATGTGTTGTCGGGGTATTCTCTAAAATATCGTTCCCTCATCCTCATTTAAGTGTTTGATTTTATTGTCTGTAAAACTTTTTCGCTCATTTCTTCTAACAATAGCTGTGCTCTCTTTAAATATACCATACTTGTGCCTATTGCTTTTTATGGTGTAGTCTATTATTTGATTTTCACATAACAAAAAGATGACTATCTGGCTGTGGAAATAAGTGGGTAATTCATTAATTACTATGCATACATGGAAAATTGATAACAATAAATTATTTACAATTTTGCTGGCAGAACAAAATTTATTCCATTCAAGAAAATCAGTTAATTGAGAAAAAAGAGCTTTTGAAAGAGAGAGCAGTATATGCTCTAGCACTGCAAGAAATACTGGAACCTCTGCTCACACTAGATAATGATTCTGTACAACTGAAATTGCTCCATGAAGAACAGAGTCAGGTAAGCATTTATCATTAATTCAGAAAATAATTTGCAGGACTCTTTAAGCCCCTAAATTCGGTATGTGAGTTCACATTGTTATTTGGGAAATTATGACTTCACCTAGGAACATCTTGGACACACTAAGTAACTCTTTCAGCAATGCACCACAGATGTACAGTGGAACTGTCTACCAAGACCTATTACTTAGAACCCCATACTCTATCTTACTGTGTATGTAGGAAGAACAGTTTTCAAATGGGTGAGCAGTGCCTTATCTGGTGCGTCTGCCACTGTGGAAAACTAAATTCAGAATCTTCACAGCTTTTTGATGGAATGCTAAAGTTATATTTACTTGAAAATAAAATATAAGGTGTCCTGACATTCTCATGGTAAATTTTTGATGCATATACAAGTGGAGACAGCTAGGGTGAAAAATAAAGCAAACATAGATAAAATATTTTCAAAACCACAAGTTTATGGCAATAACTAATATTACCAGCCCTTCCCAAAGAAAAATTTACTAGAAAAATATGTATACATTGTATCATTAGTCTTATGGAGATGTAGAGGGTGTGGTAAGAGTTATATATTCTTGTCCTTCCCTGCAGGGAAGATATTCATTTATTTATTCGGGCCATTTTGGCACAAGATTTTTTTTTTCCTTTGCAAATGATGATGTAACTTTATGTTCTCAGTCATAAATAATTTTCAAATTGTTTTTATTTAAAAAATGTGATTTACAAAGCATTGGTATTATAAATGTTTATTTTGATCTTCAAAGCCTCCTGCCCAGGAAATAGACAAGGGGGAGTCTGCTTGTATCATAGACTAGAAAAAGCTTGGGCCTAACCAGGTTGATTCACTTGTACAAGGTCATAACACATAAGAAATAACAAGTTCTGAGTACTACATACAGCTTGTCAATGCTATCCTAGTACTGATAGAATGATTATATAACCAGTAGTAATGCCTAGTAAGACACATTATTTCAGTAATGGCCCCCCCTTAAGCATTGATGATAGAAATTTATTAATTACATCAAAAGCATCAGTGTAATTGTCTGAGTATGATAATGAATTCCTGAAAAGATTAATGAATTTGTTTCCCCTTAGTTTGTAATAGCCAGGGTTTTTACATCTTCTTGTACTTCAGTGATCATTTTTAATTTTATTGTATTTTAATAGATAATAAATTTTAAGAACAAGTCACTTGGCACAAACTCCAGGAAAGAATAAGTTTTTGCACACTTCTTAGTAATGATTGCTGTAAATTTGTGCTTTAGACCTTTAATTTTGATAAAGAATCTTAAATATCATAACGAGGTCTTGTAATTTCTATGAAATTTTATTTGTTTTTGTTACTTAACTGAAGTGGATTAGATTTTGGTTCTCTCAGTTAATACAAATAGAATATTGAGATTTGGCACATCGTATTATATTTTTGTCATTCACATGCAGTGATTCTTTTGCTCTATTTACTGAAACAAATTTTGTCATTATTAAAATAGTCACTTAGGTACTATTTGGTCTAAACTATGAAAATTGAGTTGTAAATGCTGTACAACTTAATATTGTAATGTCTTCTAGTTACTGAATGACATAGTTGTAAAGAGGGATTTTGTTAGAAAGAAGGTGGAAAAAACAAAGAAAAAATTACGAAGAAAGGGGAAGAAAACTCGTGTTGCCCTAATGGAAACTGAGGTAAGAAATGAAATTTCAAAAAGTTTGAATTTACAATTTCTTTGTGTCCATGAAAACTAGTCAGTCAAGTTCAATGTTATGTGAATGTCTTGCGTTTCTCATTTTTTTGCACTAAGAGGACTCTGTGCATGTGAGCATGTGTTGTTTTTATCTTTTCCACTGGGGGACCCTGTAGGGGCATTAGCCCCTAATCAGGATAAAATTCAAAGCCAAAATCAAATTGGATTAATGCAGAAGTCTATCGCTTTCTGTAATTGCCATGCATGCTTCTATTGCTTGGAACTTTAAGGAAGAAATGAAAAAGAGAAAAAGCAAAGAAAGAGGAAAGAGCAAATGGAGGATGGAGGAAGGAAAGAAAAAAGGATGTTTGTGCCCCTCCAAAATCCATATATTGAAATAATTCCTGGTGCAATGATATTAGCAGGTGAGGCCTTTGGGAGGTGATTAACTCATGAAGGCTCGACTTTGGTGAATGAGATTAATGCCTTTATAAAATAGGCCCCAGTGAACTTACCTACCCCTTTCACCACATGAAGACACAGCAAGAAGGTGCCATCTTTGAAAGAGAGTGGCCCTCGCTAGACACCACATCTGCTGGTGCTTTGTTCTTGGACTTTCCAATATCTGGGACTGTACTAAAGAAATTTATGTTGATTATGCATTACCTGTTCTAACGTATATTGTTTTAGCAGTCTGAATGTCTTAAAACAGGAAGGAAGAAGGGAAGGAAGGAAGTGAAGAAGGAAAGAAAGAAGGAAGTGATAGGAAGGAGGGAAGGAAAAGGAAAGAAGAAGTGGAGGAAAAGGAGTTGAAAGGGAACTAAGTAAAAGACGACATTCTTGCACTTTTATTTAATGAATGGAATCTTCTGTTGTCTATTGTTTTAGTTCCAAATCCATTGATCTGATATTTTGAAACTACAAAATTTTACATTAAACATAAATATGCTTATGAACTAGTCACTAGTTTCTTTTCAGATGCAGTACTTTGAATCATTGAAGTAATATAGTTACTTTAATATTAACGTATAATATAATTTGGCTATGTAGGTTGATTTTCAAAAAAGTAAAAATATACAAAATTCTTAAATTCTAATCCAACTACTAATATCATTTTTGTCCTTCAAAAATATCTTCACTTAGTCAACTAAAGTCACTTTTTAAAAATTCATCTTAGTGCTTGGCCTATATGCAAGGCCTCTATTTAGTTGGTTGGATGAAATAAAAATAATTCACTGTACATGGAAAAATGATACTCTATTTTCCCAGGGAAAACAGATCCATTGTGTTTTCATTGGTGAAGAAAATGTGGAGCTTAAGGTTTCTAAGTTATGTGACACCATATTGGAGCCACTGTTTATGTAAGAGATATCTCAATCAGAAGTACAGTTCAAGGCCCAAAAATAATTTTTAAAGATTTGTATTTTAATTTTCATTTCATAAAGGATATTGTGACCTGTATTATAGTGGTATCTGCATAACCCCCAAGCAGCATTTCTCTTCCATACCTCAAGGGCATTGTAAGCATGAAATGGTTCTCATGAGTTTCTTGAAGTTAGCCTTCATATCTGGTGCATGTCCGTCTGTGTGTTTCCTTTTGTTTTTTGTTTTTTTGTTTTAAAGCTGAGCATCAAGAATACTTTAAAATATTGGTTAAATAAAAGTAAATCTCCATCTCCACTGGAGATAGAGTTTGAACTCAAATTTAACTGGCAGAGTCAGTATTGTTTTTCTCCAATGGAAGGAGTAGGCCGGGAAAGAGGCACTTAAATATACTGGGAGAAGAGCCATAAAAGCAGTGCAGTACTATGTGAGAGGGTAGGGTCGCTCAGGGGCTGAACTGAGGGAAGAGGGGAAGTCTGCAGAAGAGATGTTGTCTTATAATGGTGAGAACTACTAATGAATAAATGGGGGTTAAAGTCTTATCTTGCCACAATATGGTGGAGAACAGAGATGTTTATATATATAAAATACCTAAAGATTAATTAGCATTGGAAGTCTTAGAATTATTTCCTCCATCATCATCATCATCATCATCAACTGATTTGTAAAAATAATTTTTATTAGACAGACTTTATGTTTGCAAAACAAGTGCTCATGTGCTGCGAGCCATCCATGGGCTGTGTGTGTGTGAGCTATGGGCATTTGAGCACGTGAGGGGACTGGACTGACGTTGCTGCTCTGACTGGGCTGTGCGACGTATGTGTCGTTTTCTTGAGCTCTGCCTATGATCCCACACAGCACCTAAGATGTCAGTCAAACTTCTGACCAAGACATCACCAAGCAAGACTTCACCCTCCAAAACCCGACCCCTGGTTCTCTTGTAATATTACCCCTTTGCTTTATTTGGGTGAAATGTTCCATGGAACACTTTTCCCCAATAAAAAACAAGGTTCAGGAGGTGCTTACTCTCTTACCTGCCTCTTTTGCCTCCCTTTTGGGGGCAGAGACTGAGGAGCCATCACTGTACCCCCCAAAAGGTATTTTCTGTGTTTGTGGTTTTTAGTTGCCAGCCCAATTCACAGGGAGTGAACCTGATTCAGTCGAGTGTGAGGACACTCATGAACGTTGTTACCTAAATTGATAAGAAGTTACTATTTGTTTTTAATTTTCACACAGCCAATGCAAATTGTGTCTCCTCCTAAATTGTAAAGATTTGAAAATTTAAATATTTAAATAAAACATCCCTGCTTTTTTTTTTTTTTCAGGATAAACGTTCAGCAGTTTTTGAAGAGTTAGAGTCAGCTAAAGACAAAACGAATGCTTTTAATGTAAAAATAATTGATTTGAAAATAGAATTAAAAGAACAGGAACAGGAGAATTTAGATTTTGAAAAGAAAATCGAACAGTTAAAGTAAGTAAATTTGATCCAAACATTAACTGTATTTACATATTATTGATAGAAGAGATAAAATTCATATGTAAATTTTATTCCTAAATTGCTCTACATTTTCCATCGTAATTTTATGTTGAATACACATGTGATATCCATTCTTCATGACTCCCTGGATTTATTACTTTATGAATAATTAGTGATGTTTCTTCTTTTCCAAGTATATGAACTTTGTTCTTTATGATAGGCTTTTATTCTCAGTATTAAACATAATAAACATTCTTATGTAATAAATATTTTTTATCTCTTAGTATTTATGTGCCAGTCTTAATAATTTATGTTTTTTTATGTAACCATTTTTTTATTAATGTTCTGAGGTAAAAATTTAGGAATAGATACTCTGTAAAGCCTCACAATTCAGTCACACAATTCTCAAAAGCTTCTTATTCAGTCACCTCATCAGTTGGGGATAAACCCGGCCAGGGATAGTATGGCTAACTTGGAGAAGGACTATGCTCCAAGGCTCACAGGGTGTCCATGGACCCTCACCTGGAAGTCATGTATTCTTCTATTCTTTTTGGTTCTTGTTTGCTGATTTTATAAAGCACTAAGAACTGGGCTTAGAGAACTATTGGAAGTATATATGCCGGTCATATTTAGGAATGACAGTTTGATTTAAATATAGAAGGTTAATATAAACATTAGCACAATCAAATTGATTATTTGAGAGATAAAGACTCTAAAAAAAATGTAAGGCATAGCCTGAACCCATGTACTTTTATGGACTCAAGACAATGCACCCAACAAAGATTTGCGTAGCAATAACCATAAGATTAAAAACCCTTTTTTTCATATGATTATACAGTCTTTATCTGAGAGAAGCCAAATTACATTCAGTGTATCTTGGGAAAAAACACTGAAACTTAAATTTTACTTTGAAAATTATTTATCTGCATTTTTTAACACCCATAACAATATAGTGGGATTCAAAGGCGTAAACCTAAAATTATGTAATTTACAATAAACTTAGGAGCTAATGAAAAATTTTCTTCACTCTTATTACTATTTCAGTCATAAACTATTCTTCTATACTGTGGCTACATTATAACACCTTTCATATAACAGGGGTAGTCAGGACCCAGTAAATCAAATCCCTCTCTAGTCTTGACAAGATTCTGCCTTCCCACAGGCAAAAGAGAAAAAAGATTAAGCCAATATTGGGGTATTATCTTGAAAACAGTTAATGCAGTTAACGATTAATGTCCATGATGGATAACATCCAGGAATATTTAAATCTACATTGAATGACTTGTTAATGTGCCAGGCACTTTGTTGGGCAATCTATCCCTCATTTCATCTAATTCTCAGAGCAAATTCTTAAATTATAAATTACTTCCTAATAAATACTAAGGAAACAAAGACTCAGGAAATTTAAATGACTGTCTTAGGATCACAGCGAATTGGTTGGTAGAACCAACTCCAGCCTAGCTCCATCCTGTTCCAAAGTATGTGCTTTTTCCAACTGCACATACCAAGTCTCCTAAACTGGGATTGCCAGGAAAATTGACTGCAGACAAGCTGTATTAGAAGTAATCTATTGCTATTTCCAATAGGTGATCATATCAAATTAATAATTATTTAGAGAACCAATATTAGGCCTTGTCACAGGCCCCAACAAGGACAAAGAAATAGCAAATGAAAAGTGCACCTTCAAGTGGCTAGAGATTGATTCAGAGACAAATCTTGCATATGTAAGACAATTAAAATGGAATGTTAACAATAATAAACAAAGCTGTCCATGGCTCTCATTTGATTTTTATAATTGCTTTTTAGCCAGGAAGTAGAAAGATTCAAAACTAGACTCATAAGACCAGAATTTTTTCTCTTTTTATTATTATGAGAAACATGAGTTATGTAGATAAACATATACATATATAATGTGTCATATAATTAATAACATACTATATTGAATATACTCTAATCTCAAAACACTTAGTGTAGAGAACAAAATACACATTTTCAGGATAGAGCAGTGTTTGTTGGAGGCATCTAGGAACATTTTATGTTTGGGGTCATATTGCCTCCTCCAGGTATGAATTTATTTTGTTCCCTGTGCTCCAAAAGGTCCATATTATTGGATACCTAAATAAGTCATCTCTTAGGAATTTGGGGAGTGGGTGATATGAATGAAGAAATGGAAGAAACAGAGCAAGGCAGATGAAAGGGAACTTTATTCCATGTAGAAGAGGCTCTTATATACTAAACGTGAGCAAAGAGTCATGTTTTCAATTTCTATAAACAGCCACAGGGAAGACAGAGTAGTCAGTGTACTGCTGCTGAATCAAGCAGAGAAAGACAGACTGGATTTGAATTCTGGTTCTGTCATTTATTTTACTACCTACTTGAAGGATATACAAGCTAATAGTGCAAGTTTAGGTTTCCTCAATTGCTCATGGTAATAATGATTATTATTTCATAGGGGTTTTGTTATATTAAATGATATATTATTAAAAGCACTTTAACATTTGAACCTTTCCAAGAATGTTAGCCTTGCTGCCTTTATAGCTAACCGTGCTAGTGATTTAATTTTCTCTATCTGTTGAAGCTTCAGCTAATGTGGGTGACATAAGACTGCTAAGCATTTGCAGCTATGCTTATTCTGTATTCATGGTTGCTGCTTAACTTCGGCAATTATTTCTTAAGCTTGTTTGTTGTTGTCAGTATTGTTCTAACCACTTTTGGATGCTTTTTTTTTTTTTTTTTTTTACTAGTAGTTTTCCTTGGTAACTACTGAGTTTACCATCAATGTTATTTTGCCTCTGAGGCAGGATGTACTTGGTTGCAAGACAGAAATGGCACTTACACACACACACACACACACACACACACACACACACAGTTTTGGAAAGAACTACAAAATTTTCCCGAGATCTTTCAGCTGTAAGATTGGGTCTTTTAAAATTTATCATAAACATTTACATGTGAACATTAAATATTGCAACATGAATTGACTTGTGGCACATGAAACTCTTTCTTCACAGGGAGAACTTTTTAGTTGTAAGATATAAAAGGGAGAATGCACAAAATATATTTGAGCATTTCATGGAGAAGAAAAAACTCTGTGAAGAGAGAATCTTTGATGAAGACAAGAAATTTACAGTGCTCTTTGAAACAAGGCAAAAGACTCTGGAAGATATTAAAGTAAGTATTATTTTTTTACTGTCTTAAGTGAAAGAAATATAGTGGCAGTCAAATTAGCAGTGAATTTGAGACACATTTTTCATGTTGAAGTAGCAAGGATGTTTAGATTTTAAAAATACATTTGTTAGCATAATAAACATTTCATTTTTCTAGGTAATGCATGAGTAATTAACATATTCATGCAGCATATTGTACTTTTCAGTACATTCAATGGGTACCCTCACCTTACTATTGCACTCATTTTATTTGCATTAATATAAAAACATAGGTTTTATTTATTCTGGAACCATTTTTATGTTTTTAATGGTGATGTGAGAATGGTTCTGTTTTGTTTCTGAATAAACATACTCTGAATATTTACCAATCACTTTTTTGATAAGTGAGACTATTTCAAACTCCTTCCCTTCAGAAAAAAATTTCCATAATATTTTAATGGCACTATATATTTACTTTTTTAAAACAGGGAAATAATATGATAAAAATGTATATTTAACATCCAAATTTTTATCCTTCAAATTTTATAAAGCTGTACATACTAAATTTTTGTACAGATTGTAACTAAGTTACATATATGTAGTTAAATAACCCCATCCAATTTGCTGTACATACTAAATTTTTGTACAGATTGTAACTAAGTTACATATATGTAGTTAAATAACCCCATCCAATTTTAATGTTTTACAATAGTTTTGTTGCAATTAATTCTAATTTATTAATACCATGGGTTTTTAAAAATATATTTAGAAATATTATTTATTTTTGAGAGACACAATGAGAAAATTTCCACAAAATATAATTAATTCTTCTTTATTAAAACCACTTTCTTCAAAACTTTTAAATATATGTGTATAATCATAATATACTTTATCAGCTATATTTGATCCTGATATTCAATTATGATTTCCTTTCACATATCCAAAGACAATACATTTTTAAAAATTTTGGAATAAATGTATGTTGAATAAACTTGCATATGAGTGAATAAACATACTGTATTTACTGCTATTGCTATGGTCCATCCTATGGTAAAATTATTAACAAAACTATAGCAGTTTTATTAATAGTGGGACTGAGTAGCATTGTTCCATTTTAAATGTGGTCATTACCTAGAAAGATTTTTTCCCTAAAAATGTGAAAATAATTGGTGCCATCTAGTGGCAATAAATGATGCCTCCTCTTGGAGGGATTCCTGGAACTCACATGTGAGGAATGAAGAGATTAGGGAAGCTAAAACTGAAAAGCACCTTCCAGAGCAAGAAGATTTGAGCTATTTACTGACTTCAGCATGTTACTCACCTCCTATTTTATCACAGCAGTAAAATTAGTTATTTGAACCCAATCACATTTTCCAATCGTACTGGTGCTGAGAACATAGTGGGACTTCAATGATAATTTATTGACTGGCATTTCAGCACTTTAGTGGAGCAATGATAACAAGGGAAATGGCAAAGCATGGTCAGCAGGCTAGCTACGGTGGGTGGAGGGCATTCTGTATAACCAGTTCCTAGATTATTGACATTTGCATTTCTTTTCCTCAAAAAGCCAGTCCTTGCCTTACTACTCCCAAGTGCCCACCCCCAGCCTCCTGGAAGCCTCATGTGACCTATCCCACTTTTTTTTCTGAGCTGGTTTTTGTCACTCATTTGTATTTGTTTGTTGTCTGGTAGTCTGCTATAATAATGTATTCTCTAAGGGGGCAGGGAATTTTCTGCCACATTCTTCTCTACAGTCTGAAAGCTCAGAACTATATATGGCATAGTAGAGACACTCAGTAAATCCACCTGTTAAATGAATGGATGGATGGATGGATGGATGGATGGATGGATGGATGGATGGATGCCTGTTTTGATGATTTTGCCCTCTGCACATATGACAGTAGCTGGAAACGGATATTTTGAAGGTATTTTCCATACTGCACCAACCCCATACTCTGGATACTTTACCATACACTCATGCTGTGTATAGATGTGGAGTCCTTCTTTCTGTGTCTCAGTCTCTCTCTCCTGAATAATAACATGAGAAAAATTTGTCATCCAGTCTTTTCTCTCTATTGAAATAGTTAAATTGTCTATTGATTTGTAGTATTGAAAGATTTTGTGAAAGAGCTTAATGCTTTTTATCAAATAGCCTTTACTCTATATGAAGTTGTCTCTTGTCTGTTTTTAGGCTAGATCTTTCTTATGCATTCATATTATGTGACCCAAAGTACAGAGTTCACTTTATGCGACCCAAACATGCAATGTGTAGTGAATAATATGCTTTATCGTTAATGGTGCTATTGATATATGACTGTGATTAGTTGTTGAGTATTAAATAGTGGAAAGACAGTACAATTCCTCATAGCAAACCTGATCTTATTCCTGTTTAAACAGGATTAGTTAACTTTGGAACTGTGTATGTAATGTAAAGCATTCCTGGAAAGAAAAAAGTCTGACAAAGGCATCATTACAATACTAATCTGGGGTAGCAAAATGATTGATCACGATTATGGATGATCTGTGGATATTTTTTAATAGAAGACTATAAAAGCCATTATAGATTTATTAAAGGATGTAAGAAAACACACTACTGTATTGGAAATATTAACAGCTAATAAAATAGTTTAAGAAAAAATATTCACAAAGTTGAGAGAGCATATAATTCTATGTCTGAAGTTAAATTCAATCTCTCCTCAGTGGACAATTCCTTATCATATTTCTATGGTAGTTTGCTGTTGTTGTTTGTTTATGTCATGGCATTTTTACAAAGTGCTTATTTGTAAATGCAATTGCTTAAGGTTAAAATTTCAGTATACCTTATTTGTCCTACTAGTATATCTCTAGCTACTATTGGAAAGGTCCATACAGAGCTAGAGCTTGCAGTATTTCAGTCTGTTAAGGCCCACTGCCTTCTCAATGTCAGTACCTCTCTCTGGGTGTTCTCTCTCTAGTTTTGCTCTCCTCTCTATGATTTAGGATATATAGGAGAGGGCTATAATGCAGTGTCCTGGAAGAACAATTTCTAGATTAAGTTCCAAATGAGACAATATTCCAATATTTTCTAAATTTCTTGGTTTTTGTTTTACTTCTTGTTTCTCTCTTTTAAGACGCATTTCTTCCCTTGGCCATAGCAGCCCCACACTTAGCGATCAAATCATTTCTTGACCCTTTTGCACAGAAAATCCTTAGCTTGCAGAGGCAGTGGGCACTGCCTTACTGGGCAGCCAAGTACAAAAATAGTAAAAATCGGAAACAGATTTAATCTGCGATCATTTTAAAGATGGTTACAACTTTAACTTATTTTCCTATTGTCCACTCATCATTTCTTCATCGTCATACAACTGCTCTGTGAGTACTTCTGTGTTCGAGACATTCAGCATTGGACAAAAATCCTAGCTTCACTTTGAAAAATTCATCACCAGGAAGATGGAAGTTGTGAAACCAGACTTAAAAATAGTAACAACACTCAAATAACAAACAATGGTGCCCCTTGTCCCCTGCCCGGAAATGTAAGGAGTTATTAAAACACATTACACCTTCTGGGGTCTCAATAGTGGGAAATGAATGTGTAATAAACCTGGAAACTGAAGAACTCACCAGTAAATTTTCCAGGCAAGAATAATCTTCCTACCACCAAAATGATTTTAATGACACACGAAAATTTTTAAAAATTAGGCACATGGTTTACATTATGTATATTTCTCATGTGACTAAGCAACAATTAGTCACACACAATAATATGAATTATTAGCCTCATGACATTGCTTTTTCAAAATGCCTTATTGAAATCTATGACTCTTGGAGGAATGAATGTTTTCAGTGAGGAGTGGTGGCCGGAGTGTTGACTTTGTATCAGAGGGCACTTCACGATTTTGTTCAGACCTAGGACTGCAGTGATTTTAAGTACTTAGAAATCAGGACAGAGTAGCACCAGGAGAGAGAAGAAGATGGGAGCACAGAATTGGGTGATTCCCAAATATGAATTTAATATATTTTGAATGTTTACTTTGAGTGCAATCCATTAAATGAGGAGGAAGTTTCTAGTTTTGCATCTCTCTGAAACACCATGTCCCCTGTTGCTGCTATGCCCCAGAATTACTTCTGATAAAATATTAAGGCACTATTTACATAAAATTTGATTTTTTTTAGCACTGGCAATCCATTACCACTTACAGTTTTTTTAAAAACTAGCTAGGGGCATCTATTATAATAGTTGACTGTAGTCCATTTCAGTTTTTCTATATATTAGTATTTTTTTTATGTAGTTGTGATAATACTCCATGAACACAGTTCAGATATTTATGATCTTTTTTTTTTTTTCAGGTAACCTCCCTTTCCCAGTTTTGCAATGCCTTTCCCCACTTACCAATTAAAATAATTATATATAGATTTTCCAAACACCAAATTGCATTCTTAAAAACACCTTAATTGATCAGGGTTTATTGAAATTTTAAGACATTACTGGCTTCAATTTGTAATAATTTGATTTAGAATATCTGTTCAGCTGCAGTTCTTCTATTTTGTAATTTGTCAAAGAGATTGGTCTCATAGACTTGCTTCAGTTTTTAAAATAAAAGTGGAACCCCCCTCTCCCCCGATCTATGTTAAATAGCATTGGGTATTTCAGTTCCTTAAAGGTTAGAGAAATTCTCCCATGATGCTATTGAAATATGTGAAGGGGATGAGATTTTACCCTACTTACAAGCAAAGGGTAAGCTTGTCGCAGTCTCAAAGATACTGGTAGAGGACAGGAAACTCAGGCTGAGAGAAGGAGGACTTCTACTCACTACACACCAGGTCTTGTGATCTTAGGTTCTCAGAGGATCCCCTGGGTTTCAAATCTAGGGGGTGTACTGTGAAAACGGTCTGCACGCATGATACTTGTGTAGATTTCTGTTGTCACAGTTAACAAACTCTGAATGTAGGAATCTCTAATACTACAAGAGGGCTTCTAGCAAACTTGTTCAACCTTTGCCTCAAAAGAAGACATTGTATTTGCCATATCATCATCCTTGAAAAGGT